GCAACTTTATCAATCTTGAATGTCTCTAGAGTATTTTATCTTGTAGATCTAGAATGTAAGTGTGATTTGGGAACATACAAATAATAAGGGTTACACATTTACCATTTTGACCAAAAACATGTAGGATGTGCACGAGGTGTGTATTCCCATAAAGTTATAATTTTTATGACTTATTTACATGTATTAAAGTCTTCTGGAAATTTTGAGGCTTGGTCTTAGCGGATTAAGAACTTAATGAATAGATGGGTTTTCCAGACGAACCTTGGCATGTCCGGGCGCTAACCATGACTTGGTGGATGAAAGGTTTGTATCTTCTGTCTTCTTATTGCCACGACGCGGCCATGAGTTAGCCACAACATGGTGGCTTAAGGTTTGACTTTGACTGTTAACCATTGACCTTTTTACTATGGTTGACTTTTGGTCAAACTGTAGGGTTTAGATCATAGGCTGAGATTTAACCTTGGATTATAGGTTTAGGTTGTTGCTATAAATGCTTTCACATTTTGCGAGTTGTAGGGTTTTATGCTTTGTATGTGAGCTGAGTATCCTCACTATGTTACTTATATCATATGTTGTATGTGACCTGCTGATAGCTTGACGTTGCTAATAGTCCAAATTGTTGTATGTTAGTTGTTGATAGTTCAGGGTTGCTGATAACCCAAATTGTTTGTATTTGAGTTGATGATAGCTCGTGGTTGCTGATAGCCCTAATATGTAGTATTTGAGCCACTGATGACTCATGGTTGCTAATAACCCATAATTATTTTATATGTATAGTTGTGATGTGTTGAATGTTATACTTTGGGGAACTCACTAAGCTTTGGCTTACAGTTGTGGGTTTAAATGTTTTAGGAACGTCTAAGGATCATGGAAAAGCATGGGCAAGACTATACATACCCTCCAGTTGTCTTCGTGATTTTGATAGATGTTAAATATGATACTTGTATTTTGAATTTATGTTGTGAAATATGTATTTTGGTAGTTTGTGTTTTTATGAAAATGGATTTCATTTCCTTTAAATTTTGAAAAACAAACCTATGGTGTTTGGCATGTTACATATACCAAAGCCATCTCCAAGCTATTTCTGATAGTTTATTTTATTTACTTATTTTATATAGTTTATTTTATCATTTTTAGCCTTTATTTTTATTTTTGAATTTCAAATTCTATTCTTTCTCTGTCTTGGATCGTATTGGGTACTTTCTCTTTTGCATAAGGTGTTTTGTAGTTTTTTGGAGTCTTGTTGCGGTTGTGGGTTAGCTTGTTGCTGGGTTTGGTGGGCTTTCAAGGAGTTATTGGGCTTTATGGATCAATATTGGAAGAATTGGGCTTGACATGCTAAAGACTTGGATGATGTGGGCTTATGAAGATAGTCCATGGACTCTTGAAAATGATCTTGGACTATCCATATTGAAGCTTAAAGATAATTGGTCCATTTTTAATCATATGAGGTGTGGAAGGGACATAAAGAAATCTTGAGTAGTTGGGTGGAGTGGTGGAAGAAAAGAGCTAATAGTATTTCAGCATTATTTGTGAGGGTGGGGTCTCACCTGCGCAAATGTGTGCGGTCACCCACATAACTACACTTATGGGGGTGTTTTGGTCATTTGGCTCATCAATTTCCTCTAGGTTAGGTCTTGTAGCCACCACTTTGATTTTTCCACCATTGGAGCACCTAGGAGGCACTTTTGGAGAGATATAGCTACATTCTTCTAGTAATTGGTTGACTTTGGCTAAATCCCTTGGATATTTATGAGTTTTGTAGGATTCATGTTTTAGTTATCATTTATATCTTGTTCTTGATTCTGGTTCATAGTTTTTATGCTTGTTTAATACTTTGATCATGATCTTGGTACTTGATGAGCAATTGTTAGTCTTTTTCTTTGGTTTAGCATTGAATCATTGAATTTGCTTAGAACAAGGGCTTTATGATGGTATAAATCATCTCTAGCTTATGGATCATGAGTTCTTTATGGATGTGTAAGCTTTTACATCCTCTGGGAATTAGGAATGCTTTCATTCTTAAGGCTAATCAATTCTATTGAGTTTAATTGCTTCATTTGGGTTCTTGATTATGATTAAGAAGGTGTGTTGTGGGCTTCCCTGACCTCCATACTACCTTTGAGGAATTTTTTCATATCATGTTTCATGATTGCTTTAACCAATTTGGGTTTAATGATAAGCTTACCTATTGTAACATCCCAAAAATCATAGTAAAAAATTTTCATTTTTAAAACCCTTTAATAATCCATAAACCATACAAAAACATTGTTTTCAACAACATAGTCAAAATCAGAGTATCCTAAAATCATCAATCAACAAAATATCCAAGGATGATGTGAACAATCACACCTTCACTTTTCCTGGATCCTCTGATGTACCTGAAACCATGAAATCAAATTGTAAGCCAAAGCTTAGTGAGTTCCCCTAATATACCCCACACCACTAGATTACCCCTGGCCCACAGTCTCCTGACTGGATTGCCTCTGGCCTATAGTCTCCTAAATGGAATGCCCCTGGGTTTGTTAGCCTACAACACAAAGCAAGACCACCTCATCCCACTCGTACTATGTTGACATAGGCAACAGATAAACATAAACATATAACCAGCAAGTACATGTAATCATACAGATCTACCAGTCTAACTGTTCACTACAACATAGCAACATCTTGTATACCGAGGTAACTGAAACAACCTAGTAGGCCGGCATTGGTGCCTTCGACCTACGAGTACAATGAGGAAAAACTCACCTCAAAGTCTAGAAGATAGTTGAACCGATCACTGCTCCAAATACCGACTCTACAGGTCACCTAAACATCAAACATGGACTAAGCCTCAATCTATTACTCAAATTACCCCATTTGACCTAAAGTCAAACTTTGTCAAAGTCAACGGTCAACGATCAAAAGTCAAAGGTCAACATTAACCAAGTTACACCATGCATAACAACTTTACACCCTTCATAAACTATCAAGTGGCTTTTACGAGACAAAACAGCGCTAGGTGTTATGTAGCCATAATTACGCCATGCATACGACGCTGACAAGAACTCTTCTCGTTAAGTTCTTAATACAGAAGAGTATACCACTAAACCTCCAAATCTAAGCTAAAGAATGTCTTAATGGATAAAGTCCCTAATTTTATCCATTTCCATGCATCTTAAGGACACCAAACCAAACCCTAGGTCCAAAAAGCCTTCCATTGTCCAAAAACTCATGCATGGGGAAATGAGAGTTACCAAGCTCTCAATTTTATATGTTAACAACTCCAAAACCGACTGGAAATGATACCCTAATGACCAAGGGTAATACCCATAAGAACCAAAGTTATGGGGACAAAACATAGACATTCTTAAGCATGAACTAGATCTATCATAAAAACTCATAAATGTGGAGACTTTATACCTCCTAGAGATGTATGAGGGAAAAGATTTTCCAAATTCAAGGTTGATTCAAGCTTCTAAGCAACTCCACCACCTTCTTTTTTCTTCAAAAGCACACAGAAGCACTCTTTAAGCTCACAAGGCACCAAAAATAGAATTAGGGTTTCAAAGGAAACGTTTAGGGGAATGAAGGTTGTGAATGGAAGAGTCTCATGAGAGTTAGAACCCTTAAATATGGCTCAAAACCCTGAAGTTGGGGTTTGGGCTTTGGGCAAGTACGCGTTGCGTACCAAGATCTACACCCTACATAGATCATTAAAACCCCGACTCCAATATTTCTTCTACGTAGCGCGTACTTTCCAATAGCTAAAAAAATTGTTTAAAGTCATTATTTGGATTATTATTTTTTTGTTATATAAAAATTTTAATCCAAATGTTTCATTTATTCAAGCTTTTATTATTAAACTAAAAACTAAAATCACTTTGCTAAACAAACCTATAAATAACGAATCAATATAAATAAAAAAATAGCAATTTTTAAGGGAAATGCATGATTTCGCAATATATATATATATATATATATATATATATATATATATATATATATATATATATATAAACATGTTGGATACAGAACATTTAAAATCTTCTAGCTTTTATCGTTTGACAAATTGTTCCATTTAGAACATAAAGTTTGGTTTAACACTACAAGCTTCTAACTTTTAGTTTAAACAAAAAGCTCCAAATTCAAATATTACTTCATATAGCATTTAACAAAACGGTACAAGATACAAGTTATCCGTTACCAGTTAATTTTGCTTAACACACCCTATATGATCACAAAAATATAATATAATATAATTTTCAAAGAACCCATAAATCATTTTGGTACAAATAGAATTAAATATTCATTTAAATATACTCAATTTTAAAACACTAAAGTTGTGTTTGACACAGAACATTTGAGAACGTTTGAAAGTTTCTAACACTAAGGTTGTGTTTGGCACGGAACATTTGAGAATGTTTGGAAGCTTCTACCTTGTGGAATTTAACAAAATGTTTCAAACAAAAAAATTCATTTGACATTAAAGCTCATAGCTTTTTTAGTTTAAAAAAGCTTCAAACTAATAGTTATCTCATTTAGTTTTGAACAAAACGAGATAGCTACCAGCTCCCTGCCATCCTTATTCCTTAGTTATGCAATACGCGTCCTTCATTGATTCTTTTAACATTATTTAAGATGGAAAATATAATTCAATTAAAGACTATAAATGATTATACGATCTGATCCAAAATCCAAACTAACCAAATTAAGAAACATTTAAACCAAATTGAATTTTAAAATTTCCTTTTCTATCCCAAAATTGAAAATCCCAATGAAATAGTCTTTCAATCGAATACTACTAGATAATTAAACCCATAAATTAAATTATTCTTTGTATAATTTTTTAATTGTATATGGTATTAGATAATAATAAAAAAATAAGCAAAAGAAATTAAAGAAACATATCTCAATCTCAATCTCAATCTTCCCTTGTAATATACATTACCAAATTGCCCTTGTAACCCATCCAACCAATCAAATAAAAAAACTCCTACAATTTCTGTACACAGCTGTCAAAGAATCTCTGAATCACGATGTACCCTAGAAATTAAAATCTTAATAAAGTTACACAAAAAAGTTTTTTTGTTCCAATTTTTATTTAATTTTAATGAAATTAAATGAAATAATTGGAATACCCAACGAAATTGAAAGATCCAACGACTGATTGATGACGGTGATGATTACGTTTGTAAAGATCGTACGGCTCCCACAGATGATCCAACGGACACGGTCTCTTCTCATCCAGTCTCACCCACGGTTTCCCTTTACCACTCCAATGCAACAGGCTCACCGGACCGGAATGCAGCGACCGGCAGCTACCTTTCACATTATCTCCGCCGAGGCCGTGTTGGTTCCACCGGTGGTGAATCGGCTCAATGTTGCCGCCGAACACCAGTAAGAACGGCGGCAAAGAACCCAATTCATAGATTCGTTTCTTTCTTTGGAGTTCCATCCAGTTCTCGATCCTTTTCCGGTAATTCCCTTTTCGCCATTTTTCCATGTCCATTACCATTACGCCGGTGTTGAAGTAACAGGGTTTTCTCGACCCGAATACCCGGGACATCATCGGGTCGGACCAGAAGCTATCGGTGAAGTACTTGGTGAAGTTTGTATGGCAATACTCCGGTGCTCCGATGATCCTGTTCTTTTGCAAGGTGATGTTCCAGAGCTTCTGAATGTCGTCGACGATAACGATGTCGGAATCGAGGTAAATGACGCGATCTACATACGGGTCGAGGATATCGCCGAGATAGTTTCGGGCGTAGTTCAACGGGTTCTCGAGTGCGATCCGGATCGATGACGAGATCAGATTTATGACTGTGTCTTCACGGAAGATATACACCTTGAAGTTAAGCGAAGGGAAAGTAGATCTGACAAGTCGAGTCAAATCCCTTGGACTCGCCGGGTCGAACTCCGCCGCGATGAAATGGAAAAACACGTTTTCCGGACAAGAAGCGTGACGGAGGACGGAGTGTACGGCGGCTATTGAGCCACGTAAGTACTCCAAGTCGATCGTCATTGCGACGTGAATGCTATCGCGTGAGCAGCCTACGCCGTTTCGGTATTCCGGCGCTTCAGTGTATCCAAACAGAACATCAGATCCCGAATGAACCTCCATCTCTCCATTCGCAGGAAAATAACGAATCCCGAAGCACATAAAAGGAAAAGATAACAAGAAAAGGGCGACAATGGCGACGTTTAACGATCGACTGCAAAATCGAAAACGACCCATTTCCGATAGGTAGAAGATTTGTGCTTCAGATCGCTAATAATTCATCTCTCCATAGAAAAATTGAGGATTAAGCTGCAGAACTGAAATGAGTAGAAGGGAGAAGATGAATCAAACCCACACACACACACACAGATGAGTCTAGAATTTATGAATTACGTTTGTGTGTTTGTAGAGAGATTAAAATGGGGTAGTGTGGATAGCTTTCCCTCTCCCTCTCAATCGCTTTCTCTCTTATAAATAATACAAAAAGTGTGTTGGGTGATGGGTGGGTGAGATGGCTAAAATATATTTATTTTGGCAACAAAATTATAATTGAAAAGTATTTGTAATTAAGAATCGTAAGTTCATTGATAAAAACGAATTTGGTGTGTTTTTTGTATTACTTGCCTTTAAAAGTTTGGAATATTGATCTAAGGATAAAGATTTAAAAAAAACTAATAATTTTTTTTTTGATTACTAAGTTTTTTTTTTATTTATATTTATTTTCGGTTTATATACTTTGCATTTGATATTTTCGGTTTTCTTATCTCAAAAGTTGTGAAGTTACTCAATAGGGTCTAATGGGTAATACATAGTAACGTTATGATTCTTAGATTTATAGATGTTATTAAAAAAATTAGTTTTGTCATCTAAAAAGGGGTTGCGATACAGCTTGTTGCTCGTTTACCCGCTACAACTATGTAAAACTTTCTTCTTAATTTAAAAAAAATCGATATTTACACCTTCAATTTATTTAAAGTGTACATATTCAACCGATTATTCCAAGTAAATCGGGAAAAATGATTTAATAACGTAATATATTTATTACTTTGTACACATTTAATTCTTAATATATTTTTTTGTTGCAAAATAAGTTTATGTTGTTTTTTGTATCCATTCAGTACTTACGATCGATTTCTTTATGTCTTTCTCACGGTATTTCACATGGGACAATCATTAATAAGGTGTTCGAAGTTGTCGATGCTTATGGTCGTCGCGGTCTCGGCTGTTTGGTTGATTATGTTTTGTGATTTTTCTTTGGTCTTGTGTTTTGAAAGTTATAACCTCTTCATACGATCTCAGATCTTAACGATCTTTATATCCACATTTTTGCATTTGAGTCTACTACAACTTTCGTTTAGATTATTCTCGTTAAAAATGTAATATATTTTTACTTATGATCTTTATATACATGCATCATTTATAAATGTATGTATGAACGTTTTTTTATTCCCCTAAATTCGTAAGTATAAATACATTGTATTACTTTTTAACGGAAGTCATCTAAACGAAAATTGTAGTAGACTCAAATACGAACGCATAGATATAAAGATCGTTAAATTCCAAAAACATGTGAAGAAATTACGACGTACAGAACACAAAACTTAAGTTAAAGCACAAGACCTAAACAACCAAACATTCGAGGCCGGGATGACCATAACTATCAACATCCCCGAACGCCTTATTAATGAATATCTCACGTAGAATGCTATAAGAAAAACCTAAAGAATTTGGTCATAAATAATAAATGTGTATAAAAACATGGACTTATTTTTCAACAAAGTAAATATTAAAGACTAAATATGCAATATATATATATATATATATATATATATATATATATATATATATATATATAAAGGACTAAATGTGTACACAGTGAGAAACATATGAAGAAATTACATATGAAGAAATTACGACGTACAAAACACAAAACTTAAGCTAAAGCAAAAGACCTAAACAACCAAACAGTCAAGACTGAGGTTGTTATAAGCATTAACAGTCTCGAACACCTTATTTTTTTTTGGAACGGCCTAGAATACCTTATTAATGATTATCTCACGTACGATGCTATGAGAAAAACCTAAAGAAATCGATCATAAATAATGAATGTGTACAAAAACAACATGGACTTATTTTGAAACAAAAATATTAAAGACTAAATATTCGATATACATATATATATATATATATATATATATATATATATATATATATATATATATATAAAGGAATAAATGTGAACAAAGTAATAAATATATTATCCTGTTAAGTCATTTTTTTCGGCTTACCTTGGAGCATTCGGTCATAAGAACTGAATGTGTACAGTTTAATCAAGTTGAAGGTAAATGTAGACGGAAAAAATGAGTGACAATCTGTACAAATCAAAAAGTATATTATCTTTTAAGCCATTATCCCTATTGATTTAACATAATATTTAAAATATTTTACAAGTAAATTACATTAAACGTTTGTTTATTTTAAAGAAATGATTCGTGCACAATATTTTTTCATATATAGAACAATCTATGATTTAGAAGGTTTAGTATACACATCATACAACCTTTTAAAACATAAACTATTATGAATGACAGAAAGTTATTTTATACGAATTAACTCCATTTTAAGAAATATATATATATATATATATATATATATATATATATATATATATATATATATATATATATATATATATATATATATATATATATAAAAGTTTGAGAATTCATAGTTTTCAGATAACCCTATAACTAATAGTAGAACGTTAGATCAATTATTTGGATGGCTTAGATGATTCGTGACATAATATGTAAACAAGATCAAATCTAATGGGTTTTTATGTTTAAAATTGAAAGACGTGAGGATAATCTTAGTAACAGATATTTGGAAGAAAATATTGATTATCCAAAGTTTCATCTCTCTGTCACACAAAAATTCACATCACCCCCAAATACTACGCCTCTAACGTATTTATCACCTTCCTCGTTATCTCCCTCCCGCCTCCATTAACCGTCATTCCACAAATCAACTGATATAATCTATGCTCGAGTCTCCGTCATCACCATCAAAAAAAAAAATTAAAAATCCATCGAAGAGGCTTTGATTGTGTGCTGATATTTCCGTTGTTATTGACAAGTATTTCCTCTGTCAACAATGACCATTGCTGGCTATGAAGCCATTTCTGCTATTTCAGGATGGTTTTTCAATCAGACGATACATATGGTTCCTCCACAAAACACCACCTACCGGAATCCATGGCCATCTCTCGTCATCTACAAAACGGTGAGTGAGATCTCTCATTCCTTCCTTCCACAGTCATATCGCCTCTAAAAATCCGCCTTCTCACTCATGTTCTTCCTAGACATTTCCTTTCCTCCTTTATATTTATATCCACACCTGATTCAGGTTCATCGTCCCTATCATCGTGGCGTAGACTTTGAGTTAATGATAAATCTAGAATAATAATTAGCTGCAATAAATATTAGACTAAAATCTTGTAACAATGATACTAGGTTTCATCAAAGGAAAAGAAAATTGTAAGAAGCAAAGTGATGTCTGAATTGCGAATCGTCACTTTAACAAGTGTGCATAGTTACTTTCATCTTACACATAGATATGAAGTATTTAATATAAATTACATGATATGCGTGGATATTATATGTGTTCTTTATATTTATGTTGGATGAAGAAAATTTACATGTTTTATTCGATTTAAACCGTATATGTATTTTATACCTATAATTATGATTGGTAAAGATGGGTAGACAATATAGATGATGAAATAAATTATGAGAGGCCTTGATGTTTAAGCTGATATAGTCATCTAGAAGAGTACAGATGATGACCACAGACAATTCTAGATGGTATAGTGGAACGTTGGGAGGATCGTAACCTTCAATCTGTGTAAGATTAGGAAACTTAATGCAAGAAGGATGTTCCCAAGGAGTTGATCTCCTTTGGAATGCTATGTAATGTTTATTGTTAGGTCTTAGCGACTTTATGCATAATCATTACAAGAGGATCTATGCATATAAGTTTAGAATCTAATAGATTTTAGTAAATGGCATGAATTTGGAATTGTTGCAATTGCAGTAAGGATTTGGGACTGTTAAAAGAGGATCATTAGAGTTATGTTCAATTGATCTATTTCACAAAGTAAAGATCATAGACAAACATAGTATGCATACTTAGTGTATGGTATGACTAGTGTTTAGAAAACATAGTGTACATGCTTGGAGCATGGGACAACTATTGTTTTAAATTCATGAATAAAGTTGATAGCTGAAACAGTATACAATGAATAATGCATAATCATATGGTAATAAATAAAAGGTGTTTTATTTATGTTCATAGGTTTTGATACCATATTGGATTCAACTATTATTGTGTTTTACTTTGCATATTTTAACTTCCTGAATAACTAGGTCATTGTTCTGTATGACTAAGTTATTCAAACCATCCACAGTCGGTCATATGTTGGAAGTAACATGTATTAAGACTATAATGGGTTGGCTTGTAGAGGTCTAAGATGCTGGACAACGGGTTACAACACTCATGAGTGCTCATAAGTTCTGAGTATTGGATTCAACCCGCGCTCATTGGAATCACTTCATGGATTTTATCACGAGTGATCATGAGACGATAATATCTTATATTCTTCAAACCTAGAGATATGAGTTGTTACTATGAGTTGGTTGTACATTGATTGCACGAAAACGCATTCGGTAACTTGGTGTTATAAAAATGTGCCTTTGTGTATGATTCAACAAGTAGTAGAACAAGCCATATGAGCCGAAGTTTATCCATTCCTTTTACCTTCAAGATAAAAGCGATATATGTGGGCCCCTCAATGATTTGATGATGATAAATGGAAGTGCTCGACCAAGCCAGGGCTGATTTGATTTGTTCAATTAGTCAGTCGTCATAAATCGAAAATCAGGAAACGACAAATAGACAGAGAGAATGATTATAATCCATTTCTCAGTCCATATGATATCTAGAATGGAGGAATATACGATCCCTTATCTAATGGACAAGTCATTGATAAAGGTCAGAGATCATCGGCAAGGTCAGAGTTCAACAGAAGCTTTTGAGAGCTATGATTGTCAGTCGGTTCTTGAAATCATACGCAATAATAGTTTTAGACTTATCTAAGTGTGAGACTGTTGGATTAATGTCTAAGTCCATAACTATAATTGGTAAGACTTGACCCGACCCGACATGGTCCATTTGGGTTG